TTCTTTAATTTCGTGTAAAATTAAATATTTTAAAAAAATATATGTACATTAACATTTTAACGGATAATAGGTATTTACCCGTGCACCCACGTTACAACAAGATGTCGAAGTGTAAAGGGAATTGTTCGGCAATACCGTAAGAAAATTGGTCACGCCCCCTCGTCACTTACCCTCAGTTAATGATGCTGAAACATATTTTTTTTTCTTTTAAAGAAAAAAGAACTATGAGATCGTATACTCAAGGATGTAATATATTCCCTGTTTTTAGCTTCGGAAACGTGGAATCGTATAATGCATAAGAAAATACGGTACGTCTTCAGACGAAATAATGTAAGTATAGAGACTTCGTAGATTTTGGCAAGGAAAAAAAAATCGAAAAAAAAAAAAAAAAAAACATTAGGCCACTCTGAAAAGAAGCTGTTTATCAATGAGACGAAAAACAGGCCAACCGCCCAACATAAAAATGTTATTACAACCTTGACATACTTTAGACAAGTGTATCGCTAATTCTAAACATAAGGTCATTCAGAATTAGCGACACCCTTCAAAGGTCAATTCTCAACCTATACAGCGAGGCAATTCTGAGAGAATTGGAAACCCCACCGGGATTTAAAATTGCCGGCCACAATTTTAACAACGTAAGATACGCAGATGGCATAGTACTGATAGCGGACATGGAAAAGAAATTACAAAATCTCCTACAGGAGGTAACGACGGAGAGTGAGAAGAAAGGACTAAGCAAAAAGAAAACAGAATGCATGGTCATCAGTAAAGGTATGATCCCGAAATGCGATTTGCAGGTCGGGAACGCTAGAATCAAGCAGACACAGTTTAAATATATGGGACACGTCTTGACAGAGGACGGTAAGTGCGACACTGGCATCCGTAGATGTATTGGGATGGCCAAGGACACATTCCAAAAGCTGGACAGAGTACTTTTTTTTTTTTTTTTAAGCATTACGCCCCAAGCAAGGCGTGAAGCCACTAGGATGCAGGGGGTTGCGGAAGATTTGGAGCGAGAGCAGATAGGAGTGATAGGAGAAAGGATGAGAAGGATAGTGGGTAGATCAAGGTAACTGGAGGTGTCGATTGACATTACTTTTGAATAGTTGGAGATTATAGCTTTCAGGGAAACAGTAATTGGGGAGGGTGTTCCACTGGCGAGAGGTGCGAGGTATGAAGCTATTGGAGTAGAAGAGACGGCTACATTTAAAAGTTTCTACAGTGTAAGGGTGGAAGCGGGATGCCAGCTTCGTGGGGCGCTTGAATTCATGGAGTCTGGGAACTAGTGAAAAGCAGCTCATCGGAGCAATTACCATAGAAGTATTTGTAGAAAAGACAGAGAGAGGCGACGGCGCGTCTGTGAGAGAGTGACTGTAGACGAGACGCTAGATCAGGGCCAATTATATTACATATCCGTCTCTGGATCGTGTCAAGAACTCCGAGGTAAGCAGAAGGTGCCCCAGCCCATATATGGCAGCAATACTCCATGCAAGGGCGAATGGTTGTTTTGTATATTTGAAGTATCGATTCAGGGGAGAAAAATTACCTGGCGCGGCACAGAGAGCCAACTTTCCTCGCGGTGGAAAAAGCAATTGACTCAATGTATTTGTTCCATCTCAGGTCAGCAGTCAGCGTGAGACCGAGCAGACGCAGGGAGTTGCTCTCAGGAAGTTGACTGTCAGACATTTTAATGGGGGGCAGGGAAGGATCTCTATGGTGGTTAATGGAGAGTAATTTAGTTTTTGTGGCGTTAAAGTTGACCAGCCAATTCTTGCCCCAGTTAACAACCGATTGGAGGTCCACTGCGGGACAGAAGGATTTCTTTGTTAACAAAGAAAAGACTACTGAGCTGTTACGTGACATCTGTCCTCCTTTACGGCAGCGAATGTTGGACGATTCCCTCAAAGATGAAGAAGAGACTCGAGGCGACAGAGATGTGGTTCTACAAAAGGATGCTAAGGATATCATGAACGAAGCGTGTGAGCAACGATCAGGTCTTAGAGAGGGTGCAAACAAGAAGAATGCTTATACTTAATATCAGGAAGAGGCAGCTGAAGTTTCTGGGACACATAATGAGGAAGGAGGGCCTGGAGAATCTGATACTCACGGGTCGAATAGAGGGCAAGAGAGACAAGGGTAAACAACACATGACATACCTGGCAGACTTAAGCAAGTGGATGAAAGAACATGGTCGGGGGGGGGAGCAGAAGGAAGGAACTTGTTGAGAGTTGCAAGGGATAGGAGGAGGTGAAGAGCCATGATCGCCTACGTCCTGAAAGGACACGGCACATAAAAAGAAAGAAAATCATTTCAAAGGCTGAGTAGGTATTTCGTTATCATTAACGTTCACGAAGTTGAAGAAAAGTCGAGTGTCCGGACCGGTCATTTTTGAGGACTTTTGAGAGGGAATGTAGATCTGAAAAAGAGGAAATGTTTTTTTGTTTTTTTGTTTTTTTCTTTACGCGTACACTTACACTTAATTATTCATTTTCTTATATATCCAAAATAGCTCACCATTCACCTTATATTTCTCTCTCCTTGTAAAAACACAGAAAGAAAAGGAAAACGGAAATAAAATAACAATATATACGTGGGGGTGGTGAAAAGTTATCGGCCCAATCCATTTTCAAAATATCGTTATTAGGATTTAAAAAAAAAAACGGATATTTTGGGAGTGAGATCGTGTCGGGTAAAGAACCAAATCTTTTTTCTTTATTGTTCACCCAAACAAGTGCCGAATCAATAAACATCAGCAAATACATCTCTCTCTCTCTCTTTCTCTCTCTCTTTCTCTATCTATCTATTTATCTATATATATATTGTCTGACGATCGCTAAAGTGTGAAACCCAGGGTCACAAACTCACATCTATCCAACCAAATATGTTAGCTCTATCTCTGATATTGAGCGCTTTCTAATAAGTACCGCGCATATAATATATAAATAATTATACATATATATATTTATTTATATTTATATACACCTTTCATATATATATATATATATATATATATATATATATATATATATATATATATATATATATATACAGTCGTCAAAAAATTAAGGGACAAAATTTTAAAACCTAATATTTGTTAGAAATAACAACTGTGAAAAGCTGAAATTTTGACAACTGGTAGTCGTTATCATCCATAATAACATACTAAAATTTGAATCATTTGCAAAGGATAGAAAAAGAATTATAACAATTATTTATTTATTTTCAAAATAATTAGACTATTAGATTATTAGACTATAAAAAGCAAAGGAAAAATCAGACGAAAAACATAGCTATAACTGTTATATAACGATTAAAAATACTACGTTATTTAAAATAGAAAACTGAAAAGAGTAAATAAAAATATACAGTATAATAAATAAATAATAATAAACAACTAAAATGAATTATTCTAAATTAATCCAAATAAATAAACAAACTAACAAACCGATCCCAACTTAACCATTAGAAAAAACAATTAAAGACAATCAATCCAAATAAATATATATATATATATATATATATATATATATATATAAGAAAATATATATAAAAAAAAAAATAAAAAAAACTTAAAAAAAAATATATGCAATTATGCTGTATTAATGTTAATATAAAGTCAACGTCGGACGTTTCGGTCTATTTTAGACCACCATCAGGACATATTCATAAAACATAATTAACATCAGACTATATTCAAATTCAACATGAAAAAGACGATGGGCATAAGAGCACGACTAATCCAAACAGATAACTGAAATTTTTATATAAGATCAGCGAAAAAGATTAATATTTAAATTTAAGTAATCTTTTATGCAATATTATTCCTGCTCCATTTTTAATATCATTTTAATATTTTTAATAATGAGCACTATATATAAAAAAATATCCGCTGTTTCTTAAATCTTATATATACAAAATTGATGTATTTACAGTGTAACCCGGATATAAGAGACGCGGATATAAGAGAAACCCGGATATAAGAGATTTCTTCTCCGGTCCCGACAACTCTCTTATATCCGGGTTACACTGTATTAGATAGGAGTAGCTTTATTGCCTTGCTTGGGGGTGGAATTTATTTTTTTAAAAAAACCCAGAAAAGTCCTGTTCAAGAACCTTCTGCATGATGCATACGTAAATATCCAATACGTAAAACACATCAGTAAGAAACTTCTGTAGAAAGTCCATTTCAAAGGATGGCTAGGAAAAAAAAACAAATATTTTTTTTTATTATTTAAATTCTTACTCTGATATTTTTATTTGTCTTCACTTTTCTTTTCTTTTTCTTTTTTTTTTTTTTTTTGCTAAAATAAACAAAATGTTTGCTGTCAGAGGTCATGAGAAGTGGATGTCACGTGGTGTGGATCACGTGTAAAGGTCACGTGCATCCGGTGTAGCGGACTTCCATTCACAGATCCTATAAACTGATATGGTCATATGTTTTCTTTCATTTTTTTTCCCCCCTTCTCTTATTTTTTTAGGCCAAACATGTTGCTTGAAATTTTTAACTAAGCGACGTTTGTGTTGTTTTACTATTACTACTATTACTACTGAAAGTTTTCTTCAACTTTACCAACTTCAGTTGCCACGTCTTCTTCTTTTTCTTCTTCTTCTTCTTCTTCTTCTTCTTCTTCTTCTTCTTACTTAGATTTTCCACTTGTTTTCTGTTTCATTAAATGTCGTACCATTTCAGAGTTTTCTTTTTCTTCTCATCCAGAATAAATATCTTTTTCTTTCTCCACTTTAAACAACACTTTTCTTAATATACATCCTTTATTTCTCCTCTTGCTTAATTTTCTTCTTCTTCTTCTTCTTCTTCTTCTTCTTCTTCTAACTTTAAAACTTCTCTCTTTTTCTTCTTCTTCTTCTTTTTCTTCTTCTAACTTTAAAACTTCTCTCTTTTTCTTCTTCTTTTTCTTCTTCTTCTTCTTCTTCTTCTTCTTCTTCTTCTTCAACTGTAAATGTTTCCGTTTCTTCTTTTTCCTAGCCGCCATCTTTAAATGTTCCATCTTAGCTTCTTCTTTACCTCCATCTTTAAATGCCTTCTTTCTTTTTTTTCTTCTTCTTCTTCTTCTTCAAATGTAAATGTTCCCTCTTACTTCTTCTTCCTCCTTTCTTCTTCTTCTTCTTCAACTGTAAATGTTTCCGTTTTCTTCTTTTTCCTAGCCGCCATCTTTAAATGTTCCATCTTAGCTTCTTCTTTACCTCCATCTTTAAATGCCTTCTTTCTTTTTTCTTCTTCTTCTTCTTCAAATGTAAATGTTCCCTCTTACTTCTTCTTCCTCCTCTTCTTCTTCTTCTTCTTCAACTGTAAATGTTTCCGTTTCTTCTTTTTCCTAGCCGCCATCTTTAAATGTTCCATCTTAGCTTCTTCTTTACCTCCATCTTTAAATGCCTTCTTTCTTTTTTCTTCTTCTTCTTCTTCAAATGTAAATGTTCCCTCTTACTTCTTCTTCCTCTTCTTTTTCTTCTTCTTCTTCTTCTTCTTCTTCTTCTTCTTCTTCTTCTTCAACTGTAAATGTTTCCGTTTCTTCTTTTCCTAGCCGCCATCTTTAAATTTTCCATCTTAGCTTCTTCTTTACCTCCATCTTTAAATGCCTTCTTTCTTTTTTTCTTCTTCTTCTTCTTCAAATGTAAATGTTCCTCTTACTTCTTCTTCCTCCTCTTCTTCTTCTTCTTCTTCTTCTTCTTCTTCTTCTTCAACTGTAAATGTTTCCGTTTCTTCTTTTTCCTAGCCGCCATCTTTAAATGTTCCATCTTAGCTTCTTCTTTACCTCCATCTTTAAATGCCTTCTTTCTTTTTTCTTCTTCTTCTTCTTCAAATGTAAATGTTCCCTCTTACTTCTTCTTCCTCCTCTTCTTCTTCTTCTTCTTCTTCTTCACTGTTTTCCTTTTCATCCTTTCATTAACTTCTTACATATTCTTTACTATATTCCTTTTTCTTCCTATCAATTAATTTTCTTTTTCTTTGTCTCATTTACTGTCTTCATGTCCTTCTTTTCCCTTAACTACCACCACCTTTTTCTTCTTCTTTTTCTTCTTCTTCTTCTTCTTCATGCTTAAATCTCTCTTCTTTCTTTTTCTCCTACTCCATCTTTAAATGTTCTTTTCACTTTCTTCTTCTTCAAATGTAAATGGCCCTTTCTTCGTCTTCTCTAACTTTATATGTTCTCTCTTTCCACTTCTTCTCCCCCAAATTTAAATGTTTCTTCTTCTTCTTCTTCTTCTTCTTCTTCTAACTTTAAATGCCATTCATTTTTCTTCTCCGCCCTCTTGAAATGTTCCCGTTTAATCTTTCTCTTTCCCTCCGTCTTTAAATGTTCCTTCTTTTTTTCTTCGCCCCCATATTTAAACCTTCCTTCTTTCTCATCTCATCTAACTTCTTTCTTCCTTCTCCTCCTTCATATGCAAATGTTCTTTCGCGTTTTCTTCTTTTCCTCCATATTTAAATGTTCCTTCTTCTTTCTTTTTCTGCTCTTCTAACTTTAAATACCGATCCTTCTTCTCCTCCACGATCTTTAAATATTTCTTTCTTTCTTTCTTCTTCTTCTTCTTCTTCTTCTTCTTCTTCTTCTTCTTCTTCTTTTCTTCCCAGCCCATCTTTAAATCTTCCTTCTTTCTTTCTTCTTCTCTAACGTTTTTCTTCTTCTTCTTCTTCTTCTTCAAATGTAAATGTTCTTTTCTTTTTCTCCTCTAACTTTAAATGTTCTCCTTTTCTTCTTCTTCGTCGTCGTTTTCTTCTTCTTCTTCTCCAACTTTAAACGTTCCATCTTCTTCTACTACGTCTTTCTACACTTTACCATTTTTTCATCCTACTTCTTTTTCTTCGTGATATATATATATATATATATGTGTGTGTGTGTGTGTGTGTGCGTGCGCGTGCGAGAGAGAGAGAGAAGGTTGAAACAAACCATTTTATGACCGTATGCCCAAGCAATCGTGGCATATGGTCAAAATCGAAATCCTGTTTCAGGAACTAGAATCTCATTTGAAAGACACTATTTTCTTTTCAGAATCGCCACAATAAATACCTTTGTATCCCTCGCTCAGATACGAACGTTTATCAGTATTTCTGGCAGAAATTCATACTTCATAGAGTTTTCCTTATTTAATAAGATAAACATACGTGGCCGACCTAATTTCTATTATCAGTCCATTTTACCTCTGTCAGAGTGACTGACTCCGATTTTAGCCCGAAGATCAGTAAGCTTATCTCATAAAACATAGGGTAGCGAGTTCGATCCTCACTGGATGCTTTATATTTGTTGCTCTTACTAGATAACTTTAATCTTCATAAATTCTCGTGGTTGGGATCGAGGCTGAATTAGTTACGTTTTATCGATGCCTACTGCTAAGTTTTAATATCAGTAGTCAGTAATCATGGTTGGGTCAACGCCGACTAAAATATATTCCACCGAACTGGCTTTTCTGGTGATGAAGGTAACTAAGACACTCAAGAGAATTAAAAACAAAACCTGTTAAAGGGCGAATGAAAGATCTGGTAGTGTAACCAGCGGATCTAGGTAAATTGTTCGAAATCAATTGCTCGACAGTAAATTGCTCGAAAAATAATTTCTCGAACTATCAATGGCTCGGAAGGCAGATTGCTTGAAGTGATTTCGAAGCTCGAAGCACCACGTAAACTGCGCCGTCTCACGACACGTCAACGGAGCTGGATATAAAAGGAGCCACAACACTCAACTTTAGCAGTCCTGATATTTTTTTCTATATTTGTTTTCTATTTCAGTAATTTTGGAGATCTCAAACCCTAGTGATGGACATAACTTTTGTTGAGATCGAAAAAGAAAAAGAAGTTGTTTGTTTATATATATATATATATATATATATATATATATATATATATATATATATATATATATATTAAGACAAAACCGTGAACAATAAGATTTACTGAAATGTGAAATATGCAAAAAAAGAAAATGCTTAGCACGTGTTTTATTTTTTTTTTTTTAACCACATGTTTCAAGCAAACTACCCTTTGAGAAAAAAAATAAGACTTGCTATATAAATATACTCGTTCTTTAATTTTAACTGTTCAGTTAACAACAATAAAGTTGTATTATTTTATCTTATAGTAAATATTAGAAACAATGTAGTTTTATTTTTTTTTTTTTAACCACAGGTTTCGAGTAAACTTCCTTTCGAGCAATGGATAGTTCAAGAAATTATTTTTCCAGCAATTGATTTTGAGCAATTTAATGTCGAGCAATTGATTTCGAGCATTTGATTTGAAGCAATTTACCGGGTACGGTAACCGGCCATCTAGCTTAACGGGATAGACTGGGCTTCATAGCTGTATATACAGCCAGTGCGATGACGATACGGTATCGCGGGGCGGATGGCTTCCTAAGCTGAAGACAAAAGGGTTTCCCTGGTGGAATCAACAGCCACGTCTCCGCGACAAAGTCGAGCCTTCACATTGGAGGTCATCAGCCGTGGTTTGACCTGAACAGAGATAGGGCTCCAACAGTTATAAATGAATATTACTCCGGATTTCAATCCCGATATATTGGGAGAACTGGTAAGGTACTCAGCTACTTTGTAACACCACGACCTCACCTTGATGTAGGGCTGGTGGTGATGGGAATGATGACTGCTAATTTTTAGACAACTGAATGCTTATGGCGCTGTCAAGTTATCGGTGAAGAAAATGGAATCGGAATGCCGGGTTCAAGTTCCGTTATTATTTCCATCTTTTTTTTTTTAAATTCAAACGTCATTATAGTGGATACTCGTATTTTAAAAGGACGTGACATTTTTTTTTTTTTACTTCAAACAGTTTTACGTTTATCGGCACGCGTATTCGAAAATGTGCTCTCCGGCACTTTCCATGCCTCAGGAACACACAGCCCAGTGGATAAAGGTGTTGGTTAGTTCCAGTGACTAGACCCCAAAGAGCTGTGAGTTCAATACTGCAACAGTGGTGAAACAAAAAACATGGAAAGCTGAGTTGAAGGGAAAATACCTGAGACATCCGGAAGAGGCATGACACGTGGAACTAGAACAATCTACCACGGCGGATGAAATAAAGAGTTCGGTTCGAAATTCAAATCCCCTGAAAAAGGCCGAGGCGTACAACAGCCGAAACGTTTGTGAAAATGGCAATGAAGATGATGAGGATAACTGTCCTAAGAAAAGTTAATAATGTAAATAAGCTTCCTTCAATTCAACGTAAGAGTTGAATCGCTGGTCGCGGAGGAAATGCGCCATTGAGCAGAATAGGCCATAATCACATGGAACAGCATCGGGACTGAAAGGTGGATGTGGAAGAATCTGAACACCGTCTGTCTGTTTGAACTTCTTAGTCAGCCTGGCTATATGTTGTCTCGCATTGTCTTACTGAAACAAAGCCCGACTTCGACTGACCAAAGCAGGATACGCTATCTTTAGTTTGTCGTACACGTACATTCCCTTGGGAATGGTATGAATCCTATTATTCTCCCCACTTGCCCCAGCATGGGTAAATAATAGCACAGACCGGGTTCTATAGCTTTGGATGGCAACTGGTCTACCGCAGAAAGAAATAGCAACCTACTGCAGGAAAAGATCTGCTTCGTTAGTCCTATATCGCGGTGTTTACTCGTTCCCCTGCCAGAACGAGATGTGACACAAGGTCTTTTTAAAGTGTGGACCCGAGCGCGTACACCCGGGTAAGGGACAAAAATTGCCCTCAGCCCGCGCAACCGTCGGTTGCACTGGCCTTGCACCAATCCCCCTCCTCTGGTGCAATGGGAGGGCGCGGCCTCGGGCAGGTGTTCCCCAGGTCTGGGCACCTCTTCAGTATAATTTTCCTTAGTTGCCCCTCTGTCCTTTGACAGAGAAGCCCCTGAGCGCACTCTGCCCAAAGACAGAGACGCAACTAAGAGATGATAAGCCATGCGTTACAAATCCCTTCAAAGAGGAATTTTCACGCTACAAATGATTTTCTAAGCGTAGCACAAGGCCGAATGTATGGGGCACTCAGTGAGGATCTAACTCATTATTCAGTCGTAAATATTTTAGCGAAACAAGCTTGCTAACCATTCCACCACGCCGAGTCGCCCTTATGATACATGATCGCGCATAACTGACTGACTGACACGCGGTCTTGCTGCTGCTGATGGCGCGGTTTAGCGTTGATGGCGTGACATGTGGAACAAGCTCGAAATACAGTACTACTAGGAAATTCCACCAGACATAGAAGATTTGTTGTTTTCTTTACGCTTCTTAAATGAGTCAGGACTTTCTGGACAACTTAGTATATACAGTAATTTGTTTATTTCGTTATTTGTAATTCAATACACAAGAAGTAAAATAAAAGGTCAGAGTATTTAAATCGATTCTCCTCTCTGATGAAGATTACAGTCATGGGCTCTCTGTTCAGTAATTAAAAACAAGTATGACCCCCTCCTCTTTAAACCCGGAATTCCTCCCCCCACTTTCTTCGTGTAAGGAATCCCCCCCCTAGTTGGGAATCTCCGAGCTAGAGGAAGATGTATTCATGTTTCCCCAATTGGCATGAAGTTAATGAAGTAAAACTCGGTTAGAATTTGAACACGGCACGCTGATTTCATTCTTCCGGTTCGCTTTGGTTAGCAGACATCCATGAACAAGCGTTAAAAGAAAATGATGAAAATCGGTTTTAATTTCGGTACATCCATAGACATCTCAAAGTTAGCAAGTGAATTCTTTATAACGAATTGTTGGGATTTGGTAAAAAAAAAAAATTATTTCGATGAGGTCAAATTAGCTGATTTAAGAAAATTACCAAGAGTCTGTTGTTAACTGGTCCAAGGAATGTCATGTTAATTTTAAAGACTCCAAAACAAAACTTCTCTCTATTAATCACCTTAGAGATCTTTCTGTCTCTCATCAACATGGCTGATGCTAACTTTAAGTGACTCTTTGCGCCTTCCCGGGTTAACATTCTCGGCTGACATGAAGTAGAAAGATCAA